TTTTTTTTTTACCTCATTCATTCTAAACAATCAAGTTAACCCAATCTCATTAACAGTATCCGTGAGGCAGTGACATTCAGTATAAGTGTTCCGTTACATGTATTACTTTTTACTTTTTTGTTACTCCCTCCCTATTTTCTACACTTTACTAAAGGTTCAAACTCAACCTGCCAGTGTTACAGTACAGCGAGTGGGGCTCAACTCCCCAGGAACCCACCCAGGGGCCTATTCCTTAACTCCAAGAGTCAATATGCAACAATGGTTGCCAATTCAACTGTGACAAGTATCAATCAATGCCAAACATGCCTTCAGCACACAACCAACAGACTCACTGGATGACTATGACCATTTTAACTCCCAGTGAATAAAGCTGTCTCCATCTATCTGAACCCTCGTCAGGTTTAGCCCAGGAAGGAAGTGAAACTGAGCTGGGTTGCTGATGTCATGCACTTAGGCAGTGGGACTCAAACCCAAGGATAATGGTACCAGCCTCAAACCAGTCCCTAGGTGTTTTTTCTACCATTTCATAGAGCTTCTCACCATGCAGTGCAATCCTCTCTTAAGTGCCTGTTCAGTGGGACATTGTGGGATCACTTAAATCAGGGTGGTCCAACTGGTGGCCCGCGGGCTACATCTGGCTTCATCCACCTCCCCCCCATTTCATCTGGCCCAACCCCCTATTTCATCAGGCCCACCCACTCTCCATAAGCTGTAAATGTTATGTTTCTGGAAGGGAAACACAAAATTACTGATAACGTGGTCCGCAGACATTTCTCAACTAGGGTAATCGGCAACTCAGGAGCCAAAAGCTTGGACTACCCTGACTTAAATAATTGAACTTGGTCACTTCAGCTACATTTAGCTGATAGCCTGAGATCAGCAAACTCAGCACCGATCAGTAATTGAATCTGCCTGAATGGCTGAGCATCACTGGTGATGCCCTTACCTACATTGTGAATCAGGGAACAATAGCCCTTTCTCCATCTGGCTTTTAAAAATCAATAGTTAAACAAAGTTTTACACTTTAAGGAATTTAGATGGATATATCAATTACATTTTACTCTTGTTAAAAATATTTCAGGGCTTTGCTTTACTGCATTTCAATTGATACAGTAACTGAAGTGGTTGTAAGACACGAGTTAGTGCAACATAACCACAGGACTGACTAACCGAACTGTGCAGAAATGCTATGTCGGGTTAATATTAGTAAGTTTACTTGAACCAGCTGTCAGCTAATTATGTTAATCCTCTGTTGCAGAGGACTTCTGTTAAGAATTCGGTGAAGGCTATTCTCACATCAGTAGGATGGGGGTAGGGAGAGTAACCAAAGGTACTGAAGGTAGGTCCATAACCGCAGATATTCAGTAGTTTCACTTTGTGTGTCCAGATGCAGATTATCGCAGTGTACATGCAAAAATGTGCAACATACACGCACAATATAGAGCCTGCCAACCATTTACAGCCATCACTGTTTCAGTTGCAGAAGTGTCACTTCCTCCTGTGTTTTAATTTTTTTTTAACTCAATATGATCAATATGAATGTGAAAGAGCTCAAATTTGGACAGAACATGTGGTTTATCCCCAGTGCATACAGGATCAAGCAGAACAAGCACAATTTCCTCTCCCCTGGTCCGCACTTTTGCTTAGGTTTCAATGATTTTTTCTCCTCCACGTTTTTCTCTTCCTGTAGAGGATAGAAACAGGAATAGGCCATTCAGCCCCTCGAGCCTGTTCCACCTTTCCATAAGATCATGGTTGATTTGTACCTCAACTTCAATTACCCGAGCTTGCCCCAGTTCCCTTTATACCCTGAACTAACATAAATCTATCCATCTCAGTCTTGAAAATATGAATGGATCCAACATCCACAATCTTTTGGGGGAAAGAGTTCCAGATTTCCACTACACTCTGGGTGAAAAACTGCTTCCTGATTTCACTTGTAAATGGCCTAGCTCTAATTTTAAGATTATGCCCCCTTGTTCTGGATTCTCCCACCAGCAGAAATAGTTTCTCTGTATCTACCCTATTGAATCCCTTTATTATTTTAAAAACCTCAATCAGATCACCCCTCAACCTTTTAAACTCAAGGGAACAGAAACCAAGTTTATGCAATGTGTCCTCATAATTTAACCCTTTAAGCCCTGGTATCATTCTGGTGAATCTGCACTGGACCCCCTCCAGAGCCAATATATCCTTCCTGAGCTGTGGTGCCCAAAACTGAATACAGTATTCCAGGTGGGGTCTGACTAAGGCTCCATACAGTTGAATCATTGTTTCCTCCTTTATATTCCAGCCCCCTTGAGATAAAGGCCAATGTCCCATTAGCCTTTTTGATAATCTTTTGTACTTGTGAGTTTGCTTTTAGTGATTTGTGTATGTGGACACCCAAATCGCTTTGCTCCTCCACGGTTCTTAGTTTCTCACTTAGAAAATATTGTTTGGCTATTGTTGGATCCAGAGAGGATGACTCACACTTCTCCAAATTGAATTCCATCTGCCACAGTTTTGCCCACTCACTTAATCTGTCTAAATTAAAGATTCCTGTAACTCAGTGGTTAGAGCACTCGCTCTGCAAGCGAGAGACCTGAGTTCAATTCCAGGCAGGTCAGGGTGAAACCTTGGGCAAGTTTCCTTACTCCACACGCCTAATAATAATCCCTCAAAAACAAAAACAATAATAAATCGGTCATTTTCAATCTACGACTGTTTATGGGACATTGCTGTGCGCAATTGGCTGCCGCCTTCGCCCACAAATATACAGTCAATTCACTTTACAGTGTGTTCTGTGAAGCACTTTGGGACGCCCTCCCAACGTGAAAAACACTATATCAAATGCAAGGATTATTATTATTATAAATCCCTTTGGAACTCTAACTGGGGATAGTTCTGTGAACACTGCCAACCTTCTGAAACCTTCTCTTTGACCGTGCCTTCAGCTCCCCTCTCGACTCTCTTCCTCCTCCTCGCTCCCTCCCTTCCCTCCCCTCACCCTGACCATTTCCCCCCTCCTCTCTCCCTCCCTTCCCTCCCCTCACCCTGACCATTTCCCCCCTGCTCGGGTCATGACCCAACTGTGCAGCGCCTTGGGACGTCCTCCTGACGTGAAAGGCGCTCTATAAATGGAATCTTGTTGTTGTTGTTGTTGTTGTTGGAACATCAACGACCTGGTGGTCAATCTCTGCGTAAGACCAGGCAGAGAGGTTGACTGTGAGAAAGTGTCACAGTGGAGCCTGCTCTTGCCCATACCAGACCTCCATACACTTGCTTTCTCCGGCAGGAATTGTTGATCATTGATCGCGGCAGTTTTCCCTCTTCCTAACTCCAGGGCTCCCGAGACCTATTGTAGCATCTCTACTGCTGTCCAGCTTAGATCTACTAACTCAGCGTGGGACCTTCACGAGCTGCATATCTGGTCTCTGTCATCTGATGTATTTAGCCACTAAGCCAACAGAAGAGCTGGAACTTGTTTACCAATGTTATGAAGCTCAACGTTGTGTTTGGTGTGTTGGGTGAGCACTGCAACATTTGTGTCTTGTTTAGTAACCTGAATTGCTAAAGCCTCTGTAGCTCACCCTCTGTGGTTTTCAAGCCTCTTAGCTTCTATTTCTTTGGGCTTTACTGACAGACTTTATTTCTGCATTACTGGCTGTTTAACACCATGCTAAATAGAAGGGCATTAGAGGGAAGGCTAATGAATTTAGGGTGATAGGAAGAAGCTTATGTAAGAATTGTTAAGCCTATGTACTGAGTACAGGGAGTAGGTGTCTCCTCCTTGGTGGCTCTACATAGCACCATGATTAAGACAGGATGCAGCTGTGGGAGGTGGGATTGAAAGCAAAGTTGGTGGGGGGAGGGGGAGATGGGGAGAAGAGTAAGGCAAACAAATCATTTATATCCAACAACAATCTAAATGTCTAAAAATAAAACACAGGAGAAAGACGTTTCTTTTGGACAAAACACCACAAGCCACAAAAGAAAGTGTATCGTTCCGAGAGTTGCGTGAATATCCATTCATCCCACCACCATTTTCCAGTGTAATTTTGCACATACACAGTCACATCGGAATTCCTCATAACAGGAATTTCCCCTCTTCGTCCTTACTTTCTCTCACATCCTGGCTGCACAGACAGTAAAGCAGGAAAACAACATTTGTCTTGTTTGTAATATGTTGAAGGTGCAAACTAGCATTCAATTCTCCGCGCCCCTCCTCTCCTGGGGCTCACTGAGGGCTGAAGCTGCTGGCACCTGAGACAGCACTGGCAGCACATGGTATTAATCAGTTTTTACACTCTCACACACTTGATATGGATTCTCACAGGGAGCAGAGACACAATGGCACTTTCGGGCTATGAAACCAATTGATTTAGCAAGGGAGAAACAGTATTCTAAACCCACAGCGTTAACTTAAGGATTTTGCCAGTGTGTTGAAAAGGAGATTTTGTCACGCACAATAAGAGTGCTATTAATTTTCCAAAATGATGGCTTTAAAAGTGCTGCCCGTGTGTGAGAGGGAGAGAGAGTGTGTATGTGAGAGTGTGAGGCAGGAGACCTGTGTTAGGGTGTGTGCATGTGAGAGAGTATGATTGTGAGAGTATGAGGTAGAGTGTGTGTGCGCGCGCGCAGAGATGCCTAACATGCTCATTCCCACTTGAAATAAAAATGAACCATTACATTTCAGTAAATCATAGATTTCCCCCGTGTCTAGCCTGCAAGATTCGAGAGGGCCTGTAAGCAACCACATTGAGGACTTACAGAGAACACTGGAATTTCAAACATGGAGAATTGGAAGGTTTCCAAATGACACACAGGAGCCAGAAAAATTGGCATTATGTTTTTTTAAATTAAGCTCAGACTTTTTTTTGTCACAGAAAGCAAACGTTTCTCTTTTTTGCTGGTGGAAGAGAGAAGGGATTGGGGAGGGGTTGGAGGTGGGGGTGTAGGGAAGAAGAGGCAGGGAAGGTTCCAAAAGGGTAAAAGACAATATGAATATTTTCTCCTACCTGCTGATTTTGGAGTGAACTTGTCTCTGTTTGCCGCACATACAGCCAGCAGCCTGTATCCGAGATCCAAGTCAAAACCCTGTTGTGCTGCTACTCGGCTGACGACCTGGCCCCAACACACAAAAAAAACATAACCACTCAGTTGTCAAGAAATACAGAGCATAGTGTAATGTACAAACAACCCTGTGAAACCCTGGGACAAAGAAACATTTGTACCTTATTACAACTTTAGAAAGAAAAGGCAAGCAGGAGTTTAAAAAAAACGCAGAAGCCGTATTTCACAAAATATTCACCTTTCTGCCCAGAACACTTTGTGTGCCATAGACTGAGACGGTTTGAATATTGCTTTGTTTCACAGCAGTAGAAATACTGTAAGTAGGCTTTAGGCTTGTAACTCACACAAACTGGGCTTCATGCCAAGTCTGAGCAAATACTCCCTCATTTTCTCTTGGCTGGCCACATTCAGTGGTTCATCATTAACACATCCTGCTTTAGGTTGACCACTTCAAGGTCCCATTCAGCCATCAAATCCAAACCAACCTCTATGGCTTTACTGACTTCAGCTGCAATATGCCAGTGTGGCCCATTGAATATCCAGGGTTTAAGGATAATAAGGGCTTCTTTCCCAAAACCCTGAGGGATGTCCCTCTGTTACTGTATGCTTTAAAATTGTGGTTGAGCGACTGTATAAACATTCTTTACTCATATCAAGAGAGGATCCCCCAAATAATCGCATGACCTATTGTTAATAGCCTAGAACAAATTGCCTTTGGCTACATTTACACAGAAAGATTGCGTGGGGACGAGCAGCTGTGAGATTTTCCCTTGCACATGGAAAAGGTACGGGTACAGATACAGGCACACACCCTGTCCATGGTAGGGCAGATGGCTTGGCTGAGAGATACAGATGGTGTCAACCCAGAGTGAAGGCTGAGTATGCAGAATGGTATCCAAACCCTTGAATGCTCAACACCCAACCCCCAAACCATGTTTTTCTAAATAACAAAATGAAATCTGCTAGTTGCAGAGGGAGAAAGAAGTGAAGGCAGGACAATTTTCTCCAGGATGGATGGTTGGATGGGGGGGGGAGGGAGGAAGGGAGGGAGGATGGATGCATGTGAGGGAGAGAGGGAGAAAGCATGGTTGGGTGGGAGGGAAGTAGGGTGGGTGGGTGAAGAGATGGGATAATGAGTGGATGAGTAGATAGAATGTTAGGAGGAAGGGTGAGTGGGTGGGTGGTTGGAAGGGAGGTAGAGTTGGTACACTTTAAGGAGGAAGAATGGGTATTAGGGAGGAAGGGAAGGGAGGGGGGAAGGGAAGTTCAATCCATCACGTCATGGTCAACACGGAAAAGCTCTGGGAACTAGACAGGAGAGTAGCTTCCAATGTGGCAGTAGTTCCCCGGTTGAGGGAAATAAGCACACAATATATGTGGATTGAATTGTACAGCGTTCTGTTTTTCTCTTCGTTTCACGGAGCATTTGTTTGTTAAAGGATTAATTGTTCAAAACTTCATCAGCCCAGAATAACAGCCTGGGCTCACAACCTTTGAGGCCTAAAAGAAGCATTCCGTTTTGCAGTCAGAAACCATTTTAAGAAGGAAAAAATACTGGACATCACCAAGGCTGAGTTTTTGCTGAATTATTGCTCATTGTATAGAGCAAACAAATAGAAAATCATGTGTCGGCTGTTGGCCAATTAATGTGAAGAGCCTGTTTGGGCAGGAAAACAATGAACTCCATGGCTTATGCCAGTTTTGGCGTAGTTTAGATGTGCGGAGTGTAGCAGAGTGAAGCTCCCTTATTATTAACATTTCCATATTGCTCTACACATGTGAACACACATATTATTGCACAAGACTACTATATAATGTTACTAACCAATATTATTTTACAACATATGCGTATCACTGTATAATGTATGCATTGCTGGAAAGCAGGTACACAGTACTGGGCAGCGTATACATTACCGTGGATCAAAATCAACAAACAGCTCCAGGAAGTATGACTCCCATCACGTGCTCATTATTGCCCTCGAGGTCTAATGTAATGAGAAGGATTATAACCTTTCCCCCACATCATCAAACTTCCGGCCAACCCTGGGGAAACAATCACCACTTAATCCCCACCGCCAGCCCCTCCAGACCATTTTAATTCAATTTTACAGCTGCTTGAAACTCCGCAAAGCAACAAAGAGCTGCTCTTCACACTCTCCAATGTCTTCTCTGTGAACTTCATTGCTTACGCAAACTCTTTCTTGATATTGCAGTTACATCTATTAAAAGGTTGTACAACTCCAGTCCCATTGGTGTCTGATTTCATTAAATTACACTGACTCCCTGGATTGTATTCACCAATGATCCTCTTTTTCCTCGCACCAACCTCCCGTCCCAGTACAAACTGACAACGTTCTTATGGCTACCATTCTGCCTCCTCCCCTTGGTCAACTAGAATACCTGGAGGGCACTGTTACAGGTGGGTTATTCAAGCTCAGTCATATCTCCAGACAAATATTGTGACTGCTTGTAGTGGCAAAACGCTTCCAACAGCACACAAACTCCCAGCTGTAGACACTGTTAAGAGCCAGGAATAGCATTTCATTCATCGGTTCCAACAGAACAAGTTGCTTTCATTGATCAAGCACAAATGTAATCAGCTGCTTTAACAAGTTGTATAGAGAACGGGATCAGCCAAAACTAAACAAATTAAAAATATTGTACTGTCATCCCACAGAGCTTTCTTTTGTCTCCCTCCGACTTTATTCCTCCCCTCTCCTCCCATCTGAGCTGCTGATCATGCTGACTACAAGGGGTTAGTTACTAAGCGACCTCCAGTACCTTGCCTAAGTGCCCACGCTTACATAGCTGCATGTTTGAGGGACATTTGATGGGCACAAATTGGCTGCCACATTCGCCCACAAAACTATACAGTATATCCTGTGAAGCATTTTGAGATGTCTTCATAATGTGATAAGAGTTGTACCAAATGCAAAGGATTTTTATATAATTATACAGAGATTAGAAGCGTTCTTCCTGGAGTATTGGGAGTATTAGTCGAGGGAAAGAAACCAAACAAATTCTATAACAAATATAATAGTAACTTTCACCAATGAATGATGCATTTCAGTCATTGGAACATTGGACTCAGTTTGCCAGTGAAATGTCTCCACAATTCACATTGGATTTAGTTGTCTGGAAACTCATTTTAAGCTCTTGAGAGCCGAGTTGAAGAGTCAAGGCCCCTCATCCACCCCAAAGCTAAGCTTGATGGAGAATAGCAAAGAGACCGAGGTAATTCGAGACTAGGTAGAGAGAGAAAAATAGGGCACTGGGTTTTGATCACAGCACAGTGGGGATACAGCATGGAAAAGACATGAAGGGCATTAGACAAATGCAAGTTGTTATTGGAGTTGGAGAAAGAAGGTATCAGGAGCTTGGAAGGAACAAAATGGCAAGGCAAGAGGTCTTATTTCTTTATATGTGAGATGAAAAGATAGGCCTTTTTGTTATTAAAAAAATGTACATTCTGTATTAGTTGCAAACAGTGTGTGACACTGCCCGTGTCAATTATTCAGAAAAGCATTAACAGGACAGTTTGCAGCATGGAAATTAATCTCACCTCCACACCATCGATTGATTAACTGACACGCTGAAGTTTATTGTTAGTGTGTATGGAATCACTTTCTTGCAACCCAGTTAATAGCTGGTTTGGGCATCATCAATGACATATAAACTGCAGGCATGCTGTGTTTCAGAAGCCTGGAATGCATTGCCTGAAAGGGTGGTGGAAGCTGATTCGATAACAACTTTTATGAGAGAAGTAGATAATTATTTGGGGAGGACATGTTTGCAGGGCTACAGGGAGAGCGCGGAGGAGTGAGATTGATTTGGGTTGCTCTTTTCAAAGTGCCAGCACAGACACAATGGGCTGAATGGCCTCCTTCTGTGCTGGATAATTCTATGATTCTAAGCCTGCAAATACATTTATCTAGATCCTCTCTCCCTACCTTTAAAGACCTCACACAACATTTTCAAAAAATCTCCCTTTTCCTTACTCAACACTTTCAAGCGCTTTGAGATGTTCATTCAAGTGAAAGGCTCTGAACAAGTGCAAGTTGTTGTTGCTGATGATCCTGGATTTAAGATCAGTCAGTACCTGATGGGGCTGTGACTGAGCTTGTGCCTCATCGGGCTTGGGATAGGAAAAGGACATAAGATCTCACAGGGATCATATAGGGCTGCCATTCCTTATCATCGTCCATCAACTTGGCTGGAAGTAACTACCTGCCATAAAGAAGAGTTGAGAAAATAATCCCTGCTGAAATTACATGTGAGAGGCAGCTGTCAGCTCTCCTCCTGTCAGGCTCACAATTACAGAACGGTCCCTTAAGAGCGATATCTAAAGACTAACAATGTCCAGCAGAGAATCCCAACCCAGGGACAGTAACTGTGTTCAGAATGGGGGTGGGAGGAGGCGGGAAATACAAGGGAAAAACTATTTCACCTTGTCACAAAGAAGTATGCATCTGTCAAACTGGAGCAAATAGCAGGCTTCAATTCTGTACTAAAGGGAGATTTGGAAAGCATGAGTGGTGTAAAACAAGCAAAGGCATGTACTCCCGGCCTGCCGGCACTCTTCATTACCACCAAAGGATAACAGGTCCATTAGATTTACAGTACAGCCTTCACTATCTAACCTTTCATTATGCAATCCTGAGTTGACATTTCACTGCCTGTTTAGTGTATAATAAGTGAAAGGTATACTGTCAAAATTATCTAAGCTTGCAATTACTTCCAAATATTTAGTGTCCTCCAGGCAGTTTGAGTAATCGAGGAGATTTTCTGCTTCGTTCTTTAATCTTGAGTTGTATTTTCACAGAGAAAGCACAATTGGCATAAATTTATTAATTGTACAATGTTATAAAATTAGAGCGAGGGTTAGACAGTATTACTGTACTAGAGAGAGGGTTGGACAGTCTTACTGTACTAGAGAGAGGGTTGGACAGTGTTACTGTACTAGCGAGAAGGCTGGACAGTGTTGCTGTACTAACGAGAGGGCTGGACAGTGTTACTGTACTAGCGAGGGGGCTGGACAGTGTTACTATGCT